TCCGGCTGTCGTTGCCGGTTATCTTCGTTTTCTCCCACACTGCGTGTACCTGACGCGAAAGGCGGCTAGTTGTGCGGCACGTGAGGCGTCACTGATTGATTGTATGGTCTGGGCCACTGCAGCGCCGTCGGCGAACTCCCTCGCCATAACGTTATATCATGCGTCTTTGCGAGGACGCCTACGCTGCGTACGGGGCCGCGGTCCACCGCTGCTGCATGCATATCTGATGGTGCCGGCCGTATCTGATGTGCCGTCGCGCCGGCATCTGAGGGCCCGCGGAAGCCAGGGTGCGCCGCCGCCGTCGCGGCCCATGCGGATCCCCGGACCCGAGGCTGGGTCCCCGGCGGGCCTCGAGCGCGGGCTCGGGCCAGGGGCTGGTGACGGGCGACGGACGCCGACTGCACCCTGCAGCGGCCGGTCCGCACCGCCGCGCCACGGTCAGCCACCGCACAGCCGCCATCAGCCACCGCACAGCAGCCATCAGCCATCGCACAGCGGCCATCAGCCATCACACAGCAGCCATCATCCAGCCGCACAGCAGCCATCAGCCATCGCACAGCAGCCATCAACCACCGCACAGCAGCCGTCAGTGGCCGCACAGCAGCCATCAGCCATCGCACAGCAGCCATCAGCCACCGCACAGCGCAGTCACAGGAGACGCAGTGCGGTGGTGGTCGCAAGGGCAGGGTCCGGTGGTCCTCAGGGCGGGATCTGGTAGCCTTTAGGACAGGGCCCGATAGTCACTAGGACAGGGACCAGTGATCACTTGGACAGGGTAGCGATGGAACGAAAGACGATGTTGCCGATGACAGTATTGCAGCTGGTAAGCTGTTTCCTGCCCTACTTGCTGGTGGCTTTCCAAAGCCCGCTGCCGAATGCCCAGATCGCTTTGGCCAGCTGCTGGCCCTGAGCTGAACAGTTAAGCTCGTGAACGTTACCGTAAGAGTGGAATGCAGAACGTGCAGCTCGACAGCGGCGTTCGTAGGATGGCACAGGCTGGCCCGGCGGCGGCACTGGCAGGATGGCAGTGGCGGGCGTTCGCAGGATGGCAGCGGCCGGCTCGGCGCCAGTGATGCGTCACGGGGTACACCGGTGTCGAATGCGACCGTGACCACCCAGCCGGCCGCGACGGACCCAGCGAACGCCAGCGGACCCCGGCGAACCGAGCCCGCCCATGGCAGCCCGCTCTGGTGTCGCTGCCGGCTCGTGTGGTGACGAGATCGTAGATCGGAGCCAGGCCGGCCCGCTTTACGACCTCGCTCGGTGGGCGGCGCTCTGAGATCTGCCACCGGCTGTCCGCGCGGTGCTGGCGCCAGGGGGCGCTCGGCGAGCGGGCGAGGGGGGGGGGGACGCAAATTACACGCTGAATGGAGGCCACCGACGGACGCGTTCAGGGGTGTGATGAGATGCGTCCGGCATCAGTTCTGGCACCCGATTACTCTGTGAAAACGGGCTGGTTTAGTTCCATGGAACAGGCATTATGGCTGAACTCTGTGCTTGCACGCTTTTTTGCAGATTTTCCCGAAATTGATGTCCCCTTTTGTCCACATAGGCCATTTGTTGTCCTGGTTGGTCAACAGACAACCAACTGTTTGCCAGCACCAACAGACCTGAGCCGCCGTATTTCAAGGCCTAAATCCGCCGTCGGCCGATTCCACTGTTCCTGAGGCCGAGCCTCTCGCAGCGGCTGGGCCCGGTGCCCGTGACCCTGTTCGCTTCCCCTGCCCCCGCCGCCCGGAATGGGGCCGCCGCCGGACCGCCCCGTCCGCCCGTCGGCGGCGGTGTCGGCGTTTCATCCACATGGGGGGGGGGGGGGGCTGCGCGCGCTTCTCAGAAGCGGTCCCCTCGGACCAGGGCGCGGCACCGTTACGCAATGATGGGCGGAGCCTGCCGGGGCCTGCCGGGGGCTCGCCGGGGGCCGCCGGGCGCCCGCCACCGACTGATGAGGCGGGATGTCTACCGCTCCTGGGGAGGGGGAGGGGGGGGGGGGGCGCAGCTGGTTCGGAGCCGGGGGTACCGAGCTCTCTCGCGCTAGGACGCAAAACTTCCTGATTTCTGCCGTCACTGGGCTGCCTGCTACCACCATCTCGGATTCCTTAGCCGCCTGCGATGGATGCCGAAATGACGCACGGTTTCTGAGAGCGGCGGCTGTCGCGGTTGGCCGGTAGCGGAAATCGATCGCGGCTTCTCCAACTTTCTGTGTCGTTTCTCAACCTAATGCGTCTGTGATGTCTGGCGACTGCTGGCGCCCGCGTTAGTCAGCGGCGTGGCCTCCGAAGCCTAAATCCCTGAATTCCCAAACCTGGACCACATGGACGTGGGACTGCAACGCTCGCGATTGGCAGATGCCGGGTTCGACACTCTCCAGCTGCGTATTTTTCCGACCACGCACTTAAGCGCTGATGTGACGCTGAGACGTGCGACACTGAGACGTGCCACGCTGAGATGGCGAGACGCCAAGACGTGCGACGCTGAGAGTGACGTCAGTCTCATTTGTCAGCAAATCGGCTGCACCGGAACGCACGGGTAGATCCCGCTCCCGCAGTGAGCTGCAAACACTGACCGAACCGAGCAAACTTCTTGGCAGCCCTTGATGAAGAGCGTTTCAGATCCTCGCAGCGGGATTCCCGGCGGGACTTCGGACCGTCGTGATGCCTCGACTCGCACTGCGTTTTAAACACTCCAGGGGCTACCCACGGCCGTAAAACAGCGACGCCGTGCATCAGTACTGTAAACTGGTCTCACTACAGTGGTTTCGCCTCTGCTGGCGACGCGTCCGTAGCGCTGGCTGCGTCAGCTCCTGACCGGGTGGGCCCGTAAGACCGCACCAACACGGCGCCGCCCACCGCCGACGCACGCTTCCCTGCCGGCGTGCTTCGGCTGCGTGTCAGCCGGTGCCGGCATCGACAGCGGCTCATTTGTCTTGGTCGCGCTGTTTTTGTGTCGGGAGACGCTGACGTAACGAGCCCACCGGCGCCGCTCCGTTCCGCCGGCCCGCGGCACCACTGACGAGCCCACGGGCGCTGCCCGCCTCCGCCGGCCCGCGGCACCACTGACGAGCCCACGGGCGCTGCCCGCCTCCGCCGGCCCGCGGCAGTAGGGCCTCAAGGCACCACTGGTGCGGCTCTCAACTCTGTGTTCGGGTGCGGACATGGTGTGTGGCCGGGCGCGGGCATGAAGTGGAAGTTCTTCTCCACCGCACTCGTGGCGATGTTTTATGCCAAGGTCTGCAATTATACCGGACATCGTATGCGAGTGAGGTATTTACATTAGTGGTGATGAGGCAGTCCTCCGTCTGTGTTGGGTGGTGGAGGTTGCAACCAAAATCTCAGAAACGTCAGTGTATCGTGCCTTGCCGTTTGACGCCCATGCCGCGCAGCCTCCCCAGTATCTGTACGGGATGCCATCCTTTAGGGGATACCTTTAGGGGATACCTTTTTACTTACCTTATCCTCGGAGAACGCGTTGGTAACACATGCACTGAGAGGTCAGTGAACTATGTTGGCTGCGAAACGGACCCGTCGACCACAGATATAAATCCAGCATCCAATTATGGTTTGTTCTTGAGAGATTTGTTTTTCTGTGTGGTAGTGTCGGTGGAACGAATTGGGCCTGCCCGCGAAGACACGCCCCAATCCTTTTTGAAGATTGATATGTTCATAAGAAGTAGACGCGCATGTCATTATTGACGGCAGAGCATTGATGGCGTCAAATTGGTCCCTTGTCGGGCCAGTGAGCGGTTAGAGGCGGGGGGGGGGGGGGGGGGGCGAGAGGTGGAGCAAGAGAAGCTGCAGTGTTTGGCCTCTGTGGCTCAGCGCCACGTGTCATTTTTGGCAGCGCGTGCCCAGATTGCTACCAAGCATGAACTTCAGTGATTTTTTCATTTTTTCGATGTTGAACGCAACTTGTTCCCTCTACTTTGATTTTAGCTAAATTTTATCTCATTTTTACTCCCATTAAATTCAAACGAGTCCGTTACTTCTCAAAGATAGCAACTTGACGTCATGATCCGCCCTATGATCCAGTCCGATGCAACTATTGTTTTGTTATCTGTTCGTTCGCGCCTTCCCAGTTCCGGATCACACACACGACGTCCCACAGTTGGCGTCTGTATTTGAACTGCACCACCGGAGTCCAACGGAACGCGCCAAAGTACATGATGGCGCACACGGCACGATAGTGATGTGGGGGAACTGGCGCCTAAATTGGGGACGATATACATTTAGCATGGGACATCACGTGACAACTATTGTAAGAAGATCACAAAAAATAGGCTGTCAGTTTCGCAAAATTTGTTAGGAGGGTTGAATGGAGAAAAGTACTATGGCTGCCCCAAAATACGTCAAAAATCGGTCTGCCCCCGGATTTGGCTCCCTTTCCCTCAAAGTTTGGAGGAGCTTCACCAAATGAATTGGAAACTCCATCCATATGGGGCAGTATAACGAACAATGAAATCTGAGATACCAACCCGCATCACGTTTGCCGCACTAAATGCCTACAACACTGAGCACCAATTTTACAGCTGCGCCAAATAGCCTCACACGGTTGGTAACCAAGCACCGTACACCCCACTGCATCGAATGCGTGCTCTGACCCTCGCTCTACTGTTTTGTGAGCCAGCACTGCGTGCCGGAAACCCATCCCAGAGTACGTTAGAGAGAAGATGAAAAATTATTTGCGCTATCCAAATAGGTATGAACGTTCTCCGTGCTTCTTCTGGGAAACCGTTCGTTGTCGGGACTGGCTGCAGAAATTGCATTGGGTGCAGTTATCGGATTGGCTGCAGTAATTGCATTGGGTGCAGTTAGGGGATCGGCTGCAGTGATGAGATTGTATGCAGTGATCGGTTTGGGTGCAGTGATCGGATTGGGTGCAGTGATCGGATTGGGTGCAGTGAGCGAATTGGATGCAGTGATCGGATTGGGTGCAGTGATTGGATTGGCTGCGGTGATTTAATTGGCTGCCGCGTGCTGACGTGAGCGGCGTGTCCGTGTCCGCAGGGGAGGCCGGCCACGACACAATGACCGCCTGCCTAGGCAGAACGTGGGAGCACGGCTACAACCACCTCGCCGACAGCTGCAACAGCCTGGACGCCAATGGCAGCGACGATGAGGCGGTAAGGCACGCGCCGCGCGCCCGCTCGGCCCCCTGTGTGCGATGTGCGGTGTGCGGTGTGCTGTGTGCGGTGTGTCATGGGAGCCATCGGCGATCGGTGCAGCGGGCGCAGATCCTCCACATCGCTGCCACGACTGTGGTGTTATCCCGCGACAACACGCGCCTTCCTCGCATCTCCAGTGCCGGTAGTGTAGTGGTTAGCGCGTCTGCGTTGGCTGCTGCGCGTCTGGGAAACCAGAGGTACGGGGTTCGATTCCCCGCGGTGCCCGCCCTTCCTGCCAGGATGAGAGGCAGGCGACGCCATATAGCCTCAGTAGCTGAGTGCGTCGTAAAGCCCCAATCTCACACACACACAAACACACACACACGCACACACATCTCGCATCTCCCGAACTGGACCGGAGCTCATTTCCCATTGCCATGCCTCATCTGTCTTTTCGCGCCCTTTTTAACCGTTGTCTATTCGAACATTACCGCTTCCTTCTCTTTGCATTTTTGCGGTGTTTTCCAGACGTGCCGGTAGCAGGCGTTTTACCGCTAAAAATGGGACTGGTGCGGCGGCGGTTTAGTTGGTCAGCGCCGATTGACGTCTTAGTGAAGTCGCATTCCGGCTACCGGTGCTATCAATTTTTCAGTAACTGAACGGCAGGGCAAGATGACTGCACCTATTTTCACTACAGTTAGCAGAAGCGAATTTTCGTGTCAATAATTGTGTGCCCAAGTGATATATGTGCACAAATTTGATATTTCTATGATTTTAAAATGTCAAGCATTCGACAGCTTCTCCTACATTCCGCTGCATCGGAAATCAAACAGCAAGCCATTGACCTTACTCTCCTCGCCCTCTATAGCTGTTTCAATTGCCTTCATTTCTTCTCATCAACCTCATACCTCTTTTTGCTCTGTAACTGGCCGCGCCGGGCGCTCTCTTCGAGGCCAGACTCCTCCCTCCCCCCAGCCATTTCGAAGCCAGTGTTCCTCCCACGACCGCTTCGGGGACAGTCTGCCTGTCGCAGTCGCTTTTCGTCCTCCTGAGTTTCTGTCTGTCCTCTGCCGGTCGCCCGAGGCGACGCTCGCCAGCAACGCGCGGCATGGCCTGACGTTACATCAGCGAGCTAGCGGTAACTGGAGTCGGTTCCAGGAGCTGCTGCTAGCTGACGCAACGCGGCCACCGCCCCCGTGGCGGCGCGCCCCAGGCCCGCGCGGTCAGCGGCCTCCGGGCGGCAGCTCGCGGTCGCGCCGCGGCGCCTGTGGTCCTCTCCGGGACCTGGGGCCCTGCCGGTGACCTGGGACGGCTGCGGGCACCTCAGCCATGGTCGCAGACGGAGGCCGCTTCGGCCGGGCCCGCTATGACGTCATTGTAGCTGTTGGTGACGTCAGCGGCCGACCGCAGACGAGGAGGGCGGGGAAATCCAGACGCATCTTCGCTGGTGGCATGACTTGTCGTACATTAACGCGACACGAAGGGGATGGGGTTTGACATGAGAGAGGATGATGTGTGTCTCCCATGCTCAGATGGGACGGGGCAGCTATAATCCTCCTTTGGCGCGCCCACGCGCTCCAATGGCGACGAATTAGGAGTCGCTTGCGGCTGCTTTCTCAGATCCCGCACGTGTCCGTAACCTGTCGAATCTGGACCCCACCGTCGGTCCCGGGACCGTGACCTGTCGGGTCCGGGCCCCACCGTCTGTCCCGGGATCGTGGCCTGTCGGTTCCGGACCCCACCATCGGTCCCGACACGTCATGGTCTCGACACGGGACCGTGGCGTGTCGAGCCCGAACCACTCCGCTGGTGCCCGAGGTCGTGTCTGGTCCCGACGGGCGCCGGCGCGTCGCCGCCGCCTGATCCCGACAGCTCTGGAGCGTTCGTCCACGCTTTCGCGGCGTCATGACGCTAACGCCCGCCCAGCCGACTTCGGCCGCCTCTCCCCGTCACCGTAACCCGACGTGACCAAAAAAAAAGAAGAAAAAAACGCGGCGGGTGGTGCGACCAGTGGCGGCACGACGGAGCGTCCTCCCGCACTCTCTCCCGTCAGGCTGCTGCGATTGGGCATCCTCCCGCACTCTTCGTCTGCCATCTGGGTCATCGCCTGTCTGAGTGCGGCATCGGCTGCTCTTGCGCCTGCCTCGTCACGGTTCGGATTTCTCAACAGAGCCGCGCCTGAAAGGACGTAGAATCACAGCACGCCGTGGGAAAGGAGACGTCGTGTGAGAAGGCGACAGTTGGAGAGGCAGAGCGTGCATGCGCGCCCGGGAGAGTGATGGACCCACAGGGGCGCGCCAAATGCCGGATGATTTGGCTGAGCGCGGCGCGCGGCTTCGGCGGCGGTTTTTGCCCGGATGGCAGGAAGGGAATGCGTTAGTCGGAACTGGCCGCGGTGCAGCCCGTTGTGTTGACGTGTTGTGGCGCCGACCAATGCGGACGCTGGCCCAGCTCGCGCTGCGCTCGAACCGCCCCGACTGACGGAGTGATGTTAAGGTCACTTGAAGGGATTGGTTTTTCCATGGCAGTGTTCCAGCGCTGTGGCGAATGGAACGAGGGGTACTTGATGCCAGGAAGTGGTGTTTCAACACCAACGAATGCAGAGTAATGGTAATTCCAGCACTTTTGCACTTGTCTCTCCCCGCCGTCTGCGCGGTATCGTCATGACATGAAATACTGCGCAACGCGGGTACACGGTAGCGGTGGGGGAGGGGTTGAGGGGTGTAGCGGACGTCGGTGGGAGATCGAGTGACACCAGCCACCCGTAGGTTTATGTAAAAGCGATGAATTCGCGGTAATGTTGCAGCGTAACGGCAGGAATACGTCGCACGAACGGAAGAAAGCAGAGATATCTTGTGCTTCAATGGGAGATGCTGTAACTTCGCCGGCCACGGCATCTCAAGGTTTGTGCCCCCCCCCCCCTCCACACCAGATGTGCAGTTTGGCTCCTCCCTCAAGCGAACTAGTTAATCACCATCTAAACGGAATGTCCACGTCTTATGTGCCCAGGTGATGATGCACGCTTCCGAGCGACGTGAAAATATCAGCATGTATCACGCATCTTCGCGTTCTTCCATTCTGTCTACCAATGCTTCTTGGTTTTGCGCAGTGTTTGTTTCGGGCGTGTGGCAGTATCTTTCAGTTTATTCGTAAAGTCGCACTTTTACGAGCTGGTGTTGACATTAGAAATAAAAAATCGTTTGACGACATGACAACGCTAGATAACATGAGTAACGGTAATCGGTACCTGTCTGTATTGAGAACTGTACCTTTTGAGCCTTCTCGCTCCCATACCTTATGGATATGGGCCCTGCTTCTCAATTAAAAAAATAAACTATTGGCTTCTTCCTGGAGTGGACAGTTCAGAGAGACTCCCTAATGTTGTTGTGTCTACAACAGGGCGAAATTATTATTGCAGGGGTGCATCTTTTCATTCCTAACAGATGTAGAAAAGCAGAAAGATTGCCGCTTCTGTTAACGCCTTGTACGTGGGTGGCTCGTTCCATGACGTGACCGAGTACATCGGAGAATGTTCTCGAGCCTGAGCCACGCGAGTGGGCAAGACAGCTCTTCATTCTCATTTCATTCGTTCATTGTTATTTCTCGATAATCACGCGACAGGCGGTGCACAGCGGAAGGAAAGAGAACATGACAACAGAAACGGAATCACGTGTGAAACTCGCCGCCAACATCGATTACATTGTTGTGTCAGCCGACTTTGCGGTGACCGTATTTGCGCAGGTGCTGCCATATGTCACTATGTCATTACCCCGCCGTAGGTTTCGGGTGAAAGCCAAAATCGCACAGAATTACTTCACACAGAACACCTTGGCAAAAATGGTACTGCAGAGGTAAGACGATACCGAAAATTTGTACGCAATATACTCAGAATTTAGGTCAGATCCGCTTACCATACCTCGCAGGCTTGAAGGGAATGAATGCACGTTACTTATATTTTTTAATTAATTATATGAAGGCAACGTAATCCACGTAAGTTTTTTATCGCGAGTTTTTTAACGCTAAAATAATTTCGGAAAGTGTTGGCTGCCCCTGCCCCGCTGCCCCTGTGACTGGCGGCGGTGGCGGGCGACTTATTGGGCTAACATGGGTATGGAGGCAGGCTTGTACTTGAGTAACTGTCATTACACAGCTGTCTTTTGCAATTAGACCCCTCCCTCATGTCCAGAAAATTAAAATCGAAAACTTTAATGGCAGACCCAATTCTGCAGCTGATTGAGGTCGCATGTCTTCTCTGCCAGCGCCTCGTCGCGGCTCGCAGCAAGCGCCGCCGGGCGGCCAGCCGCCGTCGGCGGCCTCCGCTAGCGCGGGCCAGCCGCGCTGCGCAGCGGCCGGGCGGCCGTGCTCACCGCCGCGCGGGCGTCGGCCTCGGCCCGGCTGTACTGCGCAGTTGTCACCTGGCCACGTGTGACGTCACGACGGCGCGCGGGCCCGCCGCCGCACGCACAGCCGCTTCTCGGAACACTTTCTCCGCGCGCGGCGCCGCTGGAGCGGCGCGGCCGCCAGCTGCCGGCCGGGTGACCCGCGCGCCGGGCCCGGCGCGCCACGCGGTGGCGCGCCGGCGGCCGCGGCGGCCGGCGCGCGCTCGGAAAACGAGGCAGTGAGCCCAGGGCTCGGCGGGGATTTCCCCGGGGAAGGTGGCCTCGCCGAGGGGGAGGGGGCATGGCCAGTCAGGAACAGCGTGGCGGCAGTGGTGTCGATGTGTCCTGCAGGCGCAAACGATGTGGAGCGGACGCGGAATTGGCCCGCGAGATAAAGTTGCGCTTTGTCATTGGTGTGTGATTTCTTCGAATGCAGCTGACCAGAGGCGAAGTTTCGCAAAATCAGTTGTTTTTTTTTGGGGGGGGGGGGTACTGAGCAGCGAAAAATGCCACAACGTGCCCACGAAATATGCCAATTCAAGTTTTCCCCCGGATTTTGCCCACTTCCTTTCCAAATTTGGGGCGAGGCTGAAGTCCCCCCCCCCCCTCCCAACTGAATAAGGAAGTGCACCCCTGTTG